GGGTTAGTTCCAAGTCTCCAAAAAATCGGTATCAGATATTCCTGTAAATTGACAAACGGCCGGAAGCTTTCGGTCAGCGATGTAACGACAAGATCCCGCCGTAAATGCATTAAAGGAAATTTTTCTCGTTTCCTGTTCTAGGCAGCAGACGGCTTACGTGTGGAGCAGCGTGTGCCTAGGAGCGCTGTCGATGCTCGCCAAGGAAACAGGCATTACTGTTTTGCCTCTAAACCTTCTTTACGACCTCTGTCGCTCCTGGCATTCAATCAAGAGGTAAGCGTTTAAGGCGCGCGGCCGTAGAGTAGTTTGGAAACGCGACACGTACCTCCCGCCAATAAATCCTGAAATAAGAAGTAACACTATGTCCCTGGATCGTATCTCGCGCGACTTTACGCGATCTTCCTCGTCTCGGTCCTTCGTTCTTTCGTTTACAACGAGAACTTGAGGGAACGAAGGGTGATTTCTACACCGGCAGGACAATACCAGCTATGATTCAGATTAGAGTTGCTCCTTTTCGCGAGAAACTGGTTGAGAATGTTTTCCGCAGCGAGATTAAAAGAGAGAAGAGTACTGTGATGATAAACGTTGCTCGATGAATAAGTGTATTGAGGAGAAGGAGACCAAAATTCCATACTTTTCGTTCGTTAGAAAAATATTAATTTATGTTAATATTGTGCTGTATGATGAGATCGAATAGGGAGAAGTAAAAGCTATGTATTCGAGTGTCAAAGCATTATTAATCATAGGAAAGGTAAATTTTTCAGGAAACCGGTTTGAAATTTTTTGTAGTAGAAAGTTATTAATTATTTAACTATTTAGTATTGAAAAGAATTCTTTTTCTGTTAAATTTAATTGAGAATTTTTGGGATTTGAGAGAGTTTAGTAAAATATTGTTTATGTGTAGTGACCGAAAAAAGTATTCATACACCTTATAAAATGGAATAACTTTTTTAAAATTGGGCCAAACGACTTGAGTGTTTTTGAGAAGTTAGAAACATTAGTTTACTAGATGATGTGAAATTTCATCGAAATCGGTGGACGGAGCGATAGGCATCGAAAGATGTAAGAATCTGCAGATTTATTACAGTTCTAGGCCGATAGTCGTGAAATAGTGCGATTTTCACAATCTTTAACCGATTTCGATGAAATTTTCAGCGTGTGTATAATTGACATGGATCTACAAAACGTATTTTTTAAATTTTCATTACGAGTTCAGATAAAAAAGTTGTAAAAACGGCCTCCGCTATTTTCTTCACGATTCCGACTAATTGCAGTTTTTTCAAAAATGTTTTTACACGTCATCTAGTAAACTAATCTTTCTAACTTCTGAAAAAAACTCAAGTCGTTTGGCCCAATTTTTAAAAAGTTATTCCATTTTACAGGTTGCTATTTAAAAAAGGGTTAAAACAGCTCTATATTGCATTGTAACATTGTTCTCGTTAAATAACATTATTTTAATTTTAATTTTAGCGACGTTCTTTCAAATAAAAATATCAATTTTCAGAATAATCTTCTGCAGATACCTGAAAACGAACGATTTATTAGATCTATCACTCTTCTAACAAACACTTCCCTGTTTCTCTTCAAACGAATTTCTCCCAATAATTCTCTTTTCAACCTCCATAAGACTCTGAACAAAAACCGCCTCTGTTGTATCTTGAACAATTTGAAAGAAAGAAAGAAACACTGGAACGTATACAAAAATATAAAAACGAACATTCGTTCAGGTTTTACCGCCGGCAACTGTTCATCGGTACTCTTTTATTTTCATCACCATTATATGTACAGTTCCTTTCGAGCGTTTAAAACAATCAGGGTCATTGGTTTCGCGGACGACAGCGGCAAACAGCGCGCATTCGGCCGACGATCGTAAAGTGTCTCCATTTCCCCGGTGGAGGCTATTAAAATTGACGAGGAATTGGTGAAACGAGCGCGAGGAATTACTCGCCGGGATTCCCGTCGCGGTCGTGCGAATAAAACTGCCTTTTAAAAGTGAAATATAAAATCGCGCGGCGGAGGCACGTGCAGCGTGAAACGGTGAAATACGAATGTCGCGCGCGCCACTCCGCGCGCTGCTTCTTTGCATACGCGCGGAAAATGGAATTTCCACGCGGAAGATTTGCGTTAATAGGAGGAGACACTAGGCGCGTTATCGGCGTTAGACAAAGGCGATTCGATGTCCGGTCGTAAAACAGCGAGATCGGATTAACCGTTTACGCAGGATTATCGGGGTAGCTGTGTATTCGAGAAGATAAATTAGGGTTGGAGAATTCGCGAAACACTTGGAATCTTCAAACGGGTAGAAGACGATTTTATCGGTTTTACCGAGACGGATTTCGAGAAGATTGATGGTAATTCAATTAGGAGATCGCTAATATTGGAATGTTTCTCGTCTATGGAAACAACAGAGTGCACTTAATGTATTACTTCTTTATGTCGCAGGTCTATTTTCGAAGCCAGATGGAACGACGACTCGAGACACTTTTTTCTCCGAGCTGCAGCTCTGCTTGTTTCGGTGAGTTCAGTAATAAGTATCGATTTGATCGAGTAGAAGTGGAGATAGATTTAGACGGCTCGCTGAATAATAAAAATTTCGTGCAGATAACTTCCTTAACCCTTTGACTACTGTAGGCGCCTATAGGCGCTTAACCAAGTTTGGTCCATTGACACGAAAGGCGCCTATAGGCGCCCGGAAAATTTTATCGATTGTAATTCCGGCAGATCTTATTTCAGACGTAAGTGAATGCTAATTCAGCAATTACATATTCCGTTAGTCATATATTATTTAAATATGCTTATTTATATTTTGCAGTTATTTTTTGTTATTATGTATTTATCCATGTTTCGAATTGTACCACACTTTACTAGATTATTAGATATATTGTGAAAAAAGCTTAATGTCAATGTTAAATTTTTAGTATGTACACTAACAATTGAACGCAGAATACAAAGAAATAAATAGAATTCAGTGTTTTGATTATTTGAATATACTTTCTCAGAAATGCACGCCTAACGAAAAGTTTCACCGTTCTCGATGTCCGTCGCGACTAGTTTCCTATGGTACGGCTGGTGCGTCTCAAAGTCTGCCGTAGTCAGAGGGCTAATTATCACTCTATTAACCTCTTAAAGCTCACAATTTTTCTCAACTTGATGTGCCAGAAACGATCAATTTTATTTATTTTCCCTTGTAGAAATAAGTTTCCCATTTATCTATAAAGGTGTGACTCACATGTTTGCCATAGAATAGAAACGATAACGCAATATGAAGAGTGAAAAAAATAATTTAAAAAACTTGCACTTTTTGTAAGATTAATTGTGCATGTGTAACAGTCATAAGTAGACTGCGGATTTTTCAAAATTGCACACAATGCACGTAATATGAAAAAATGTACAAAATACCCAAATTATAGTGCTTCTCATACTACCTGCTACGTGAAATAATTTTTTACCAAAGTTCTACTTTCTTTGCTATACCCTCAAAACTATAAATTTGCATAAAAATCCGCAGTCTAGTCGTAAGTGTGAAAGGGTTAATAATTCCTATAACCTGATCAATCATTGATACCCGAGAAGAGACAATGCTCGGAAAGCCTACAAACCTCACCAATCACGTCACCTCTCGAGCTAACTCAATTACGCGCGTATTCAAATGAAATTTCCTAATCCTAAACTGGACAAGTCAACCAGCTTGTCCGACGACAGTGCGAGAAAAGGGGTACGTAGCCTGGTTGCGCGACCGCAAGGAAGACAGGAGCCGAATCGAATCCTCTTAACGTGTCACATGCGGTCAGTCGTGCGTAGAAGCCCCGCATGATTTCCTGACGAGCTAGGGACGCGCCTGTTTTACCCAATACCACCCCCTGTTATCGTATTACCGGCAACGTCTACACCCGTGTCGAACGGAATCGAATGGAAGAAGACCGGGTGGAAAGTCGACGTATCTGTTTGTCCATTTATCCCGTTTCCAAAATTGTGGAGACGTCGCGAAAATGCCGAGTGGACGGTGATGAAATTGAAACGCAACGCCGTGGTATGGGAATCGATACGATACGCGATGGAAGGAAGGAAGGAAGGAATGCTCGAGCGAATTTATTCGAGCGTTTACGCGGAATTATTTGCACAGTCGTATAACTTGGAATCCAACGGTGGCCAACTGGTGAACGTTTCTACACACACACGTATACGGTATAATGTGAACACACAGCTTTGTTCAGACGAACGTTTGAAAATTCGCAGAAGTTCCTTCGTTACGCTCGATCGAGAACAGGAATATTGTTTCCACGGTTCGCGTTTCGCGCATTGTTCCCGCGGAGTAACGAACATTGCGTTGCAATGGAGATATGCAATGGCAATGCGACGCAAGTTTTGTCTGGCAATCTTTGGCGCCGCCATTAAATGGAATTTTCTGCCGCTTCGATCAAAGAGCTCGCCACCTGGGATTCTAACGAGTACCTCTACCTCCTCGAATCATTTGTACCGACGTATAGGTAGCTGAATCTCTTTCGTAGGTGGAGAAACGAACGGAAATCGATTGTTTCGCGTGGACCGTTCGTGAAAATAGTATCCCGTGTCTCGTTTTCACCGTGATTCCGTACGCGTGCTGATCCGGTGTCTGGATCGTCGTAGGAAAAAAAATTGATGAAACCGCGGGAAAAAATAAGTTCTCTTTTTTACGTTTGATCGAAAGCCATCGGTGGAACGAGAGGCCGTGGTTGTGGACCAGAGGGGAGAACGATCGATAATCGTTAATACGCTACTGGTCGTGGGACTGGAACCAAAGTATCGCGATTCGATACGATTTTTACTATTGGTTCTATCGGAGCAGATTAAAGGGGCTACGCAACGCGTCCTATCGATGAATCCCCGGAATCGAACCGATGCATCTCGGTGATGCCCGATTGACGTGTAGCCGAGTTTTCATTCTCGATTCGAGGCAGCCGAAGAATGCGTCCGAAAACGTTCCCTGTCACGGAAATAATGTCCCGTATGCGCCGCGAGCAATGAGCTTTAATGAAACGTTAATCTCGAATGGGAATTGCCAGGGAGCGAACGAATCGTCAAAATACGCCAGGCGAAATTTCACGTTACATTCGTGCCGGTAAATCTGCGAGAGCAAAACGTTCGCCTGTTTGTTCTGGCGACGATCGCACAGAGCGAGAGGGAGGCTTTTTAATTCCGGAGTAGTTTTACCATACGAGAGTCGTTCGCGACGTTTCAAAGTAGATTCGATCAAGTTAATTGGGAAAAATTCAGAAAGGAAGCTAACTAATTGAATATATTGCAGCTTCCTTCCAACGGAATACAGTTACCTAACCCTTTGACTACTGTTGGCGCCTAAAGGTGCTTAAAAATATTGCTCTTATGGTACTGTAGGCGCCCATAGGCGCTTAACCAAGTTTGGTCCACTGACACGAAAGGCGCCCGGAAAATTTGATCGATCATAATTCCGGCAGATCTTATTTCAGTCAGACGTAAGTGAATGCTAATTCAGCAATTACATATTCCGTTAGTCATATATTATTTAAATATGCTTATTTATATTTTGCAGTTATTTTTTGTTATTATGTATTTATCCATGTTTCGAATTGTACCACACTTTACTAGATTATTAGATATATTGTGAAAAAAGCTTAATGTCAATGTTAAATTTTTAGTATGTACACTAACAATTGAACGCAGAATACAAAGAAATAAATAGAATTCAGTGTTTTGATTATTTGAATATACTTTCTCAGAAATGCACGCCTAACGAAAAGTTTCACCGTTCTCGATGTCCGTCGCGACTAGTTTCCTATGGTACGGCTGGTGCGTCTCAAAGTCTGCCGTAGTCAGAGGGCTAATTATCACTCTATTAACCTCTTAAAGCTCACAATTTTTCTCAACTTGATGTGCCAGAAACGATCAATTTTATTTATTTTCCCTTGTAGAAATAAGTTTCCCATTTATCTATAAAGGTGTGACTCACATGTTTGCCATAGAATAGAAACGATAACGCAATATGAAGAGTGAAAAAAATAATTTAAAAAACTTGCACTTTTTGTAAGATTAATTGTGCATGTGTAACAGTCATAAGTAGACTGCGGATTTTTCAAAATTGCACACAATGCACGTAATATGAAAAAATGTACAAAATACCCAAATTATAGTGCTTCTCATACTACCTGCTACGTGAAATAATTTTTTACCAAAGTTCTACTTTCTTTGCTATACCCTCAAAACTATAAATTTGCATAAAAATCCGCAGTCTAGTCGTAAGTGTGAAAGGGTTAATAATTCCTATAACCTGATCAATCATTGATACCCGAGAAGAGACAATGCTCGGAAAGCCTACAAACCTCACCAATCACGTCACCTCTCGAGCTAACTCAATTACGCGCGTATTCAAATGAAATTTCCTAATCCTAAACTGGACAAGTCAACCAGCTTGTCCGACGACAGTGCGAGAAAAGGGGTACGTAGCCTGGTTGCGCGACCGCAAGGAAGACAGGAGCCGAATCGAATCCTCTTAACGTGTCACATGCGGTCAGTCGTGCGTAGAAGCCCCGCATGATTTCCTGACGAGCTAGGGACGCGCCTGTTTTACCCAATACCACCCCCTGTTATCGTTGTAGGCAACGTCTACACCCGTGTCGAACGGAATCGAATGGAAGAAGACCGGGTGGAAAGTCGACGTATCTGTTTGTCCATTTATCCCGTTTCCAAAATTCGATCGTCCGTCTGGAGACGTCGCGAAAATGCCGAGTGGACGGTGATGAAATTGAAACGCAACGCCGTGGTATGGGAATCGATACGATACGCGATGGAAGGAAGGAAGGAAGGAATGCTCGAGCGAATTTATTCGAGCGTTTACGCGGAATTATTTGCACAGTCGTATAACTTGGAATCCAACGGTGGCCAACTGGTGAACGTTTCTACACACACACGTATACGGTATAATGTGAACACACAGCTTTGTTCAGACGAACGTTTGAAAATTCGCAGAAGTTCCTTCGTTACGCTCGATCGAGAACAGGAATATTGTTTCCACGGTTCGCGTTTCGCGCATTGTTCCCGCGGAGTAACGAACATTGCGTTGCAATGGAGATATGCAATGGCAATGCGACGCAAGTTTTGTCTGGCAATTACCGGAATGTGTATATCGAGGCTGGATAGGGAAGTACGTGAAGGTTGATTTTCGGGTTTCGGCGTCAACTTTGCCCTTCCTGTGTATGCAGTTACAGTGTGCTGCTTTTTACGGTTGCGTTTCATAGTTTCCTACCGTTACGGGAAATAATAGGTTAGGCGTAATAGCAGCTTTTGCCGAGCCTCGCCTTTGCACTTGTAGAATGTGTAATGAAGACGTTATTGTTATTACTGTTATTAGGACCGGGTATTTGAGGTGTACAACACTGCTGGAACACCTTGTACTGGGTGTCTCATTTGTAATGACGAGTAAATTCACGAAAGGAGGATATGGTTGTGCGATTTGAGGACGAGTATGTGGTGGTGACGGGAAAGTCCTCTCAAGATCATGTT